CTGTCGAATCGAATATTACCTGCTCTGCACAGCCCTACTTCACACCCTCATTTTCTACGATTCTGTGATCATGAGACCTAATGGATGGTGGACTCACACCACTCTTACTGAAAATGGGTGCTTGCAGCAGGTCTGCCTTGGAGAGCAAGTATTTTGGGGACATAAAAACACAGGACCAAAAGGGACATCCTGGGTCCTCCAGTCCAGCTCTTTGCTGTCTCCAGAAGCCGCGTTATATAATCAGGGTCATAAACATGCCGCACTTTTGGTGGCAGCCCTGTGAGCATGGGAGCAGCTGGCGAGGTAGGGAGCAGCTGTGGGTGCTGCTTGTCTATGGGACACTGGGGTGCCCAGCACTGGGCAAGAGGAGGAGCAATCGCCTCATCATCCTTGCAAAGATCTTGGGCCCCCGATTGAGAATCACAGGCTTAGGGGAAGGTGTTTAAGCCTCTGAAGAGCACACAATTAGTGATTTCCTTTCTGAAACCATCTTGCAATGCTCTGAACCCTGCGAAATGCCAGACTGAAGATTTGGGCACTGATCATATCTTAGCGATGCATGCCTAAGCCTTTGTGTGTTATATAGACACGTTCACACTTGCCCGGGGTGGTGGTAGTTAGTGATGCTGAAGGTGAAGTTTTAGTGGCATCCGCTAGTGCTCATTAATGGTCTGTGGCTTGACAGCTGGCAGCTTGCCTTGTGCTTTGGTAACCAGGACGACACGATTCAGTTCACTTTTGGTCGTGACATGTGCAAGAGGCGAACCCCTTTCTGTGGAGGCAAAGTGCTGGGTCCGTGTCACCATCTCCTCCCAGCCCCCTCCAGCCAAAGCATTCAGTGCTCGAGTCTGGCATTGCTACATGGCCGTCGGTTCCTAGGGGCCCGGCCACTGGGACTGAGCAGCCAGGGTTGCATGAGTAAGATGTGCTGTGTTATCTTCCCAGCACGGACTGTAAGCACTGCCATGACATGGCAGGCGAGCATCTTAGGAAGTGATCCAATACAGCAGTCAGCCGGGGTCTCAGACTGTGGGCTGCTCCTTGCACCTGCATGCTCTGGGTAGAGCTAGCACAGCCCACACAAAGGGAGATCAGAGACACAGCAAAAGGATTCCCCAGGGAGCTGTGGTCCCAGTTGCATGTGGGATAAACAAAATCTCTTTGCGCGCACAGGCCCAGCCAAGTGCTGGCCAGCCTCCAGCTCTCTGAGCTCTTTTCTGTGGTCTCACATGCACTGTATCTGTCCTTTCCTCGCTGCCCAAGGGATGGCAAAGGCCACAGTGTTATTTAGAGGCCCTAAATCTGGGATCACCAATATGATGGGTATAGTGGGCTTGCTCTTACTGTGCCTGTCCCAGGGCTTTCAGGGAGAATATAAAAGCCTTTAGAATTTGTTTAGAGCTGTGACAGCAACACATCTGCCACAGAAATTCATCCAGATGTTGCTTAGAGCCCTTGAGGAGGGCAGCACAGGGGATGGCATTTTAGAGCTGTCTCTCCAAATGCCTTTAGACAAGGGACAGGTCCTAGTGTTTGATTTTTTCCCTTTCTGTTTCTGCAGTTGCGCGTTTACATGAACAATTTTACCCGGTCCGAAAACTACCAAGAGGATCTCCGGGCACTGAGGTTTCTATCCATGAATTCAATCATTGACCCCTGGATCTTTGCCATCCTGAGGCCGCCGGTGCTGAGGCTGATACATTCTGTGCTGTGCTGTGAGATGTCCTCGAAGACCAAAGAGGAAGCCCCGACGCTGGCCATTGAACAGGGTGAACTCAATAAGCAGACGGACCTTTGTGGTCAGTAGCTAGATTTGGCAGAAGACATCTGGAAGACCAGGGCTCCTCAGGGTAAAAGCATGCACTGAGCAGTGCTTTCAGGTTGGCGAACGACTACGTCTACTGTCCAACGGACCAAGCTGCAGCTGGGCCGACGGGACTCTGTAGCACCCATTGGAAAGCCTGTGAGAAGTCCGCGTGAGGCGAGCACATGATGCAGCACATCAGAAACCCCCTTTCGGGACTGTGTCTGAGAAGCTGACAGTAACTGGATTTGCCTCCACTCGCTCAGATACTGTGCACTCAGCATAGGATGCACGGCTGTCTAGCGTGTTTGAAACTGTTCCTGGGAAGCCCAGGTGACACTGTTGCCTCATGAGACAACTCAGCAGAGGGGGATGGAGACACCAAGTGTAGCTGCAGGACAGTGGCTGTATCACCAAAGCCACTGAGGCCACAGCTTGCGGTAGCTTAACACACGGTGTATCCAACTACTGAAACCGAGCTCCTTTCCCCCTGCTGCTACGCCTGCCTCTCAGTCCATCCTCCCTCTCACCTCACCTTAGGCCTGAGCTTCCTGCCTCTCTCCCAGCTGGACTTGTAGCCTTCACTACAGGGCGGAGGCAGCAAGGGGCTGGTGGTGCCTCAAGCTCACAGACCATGTGCCAGGCAGGGGGACACACGGGGTCCCGGCAGCCTGTGAGTGCAGGAGGAGCTCGGTGCTTGTGCAGGGGGGGCTTTCTCTGCTCTCCTGAGGGGCTCCACCACCTTTGTATCCCTGGGCTAGGTCCACAAACAGGCTGCAGGACTTTGTATGTGCTGGTTCCTGGAGGGAACAGGCCTCCACTGTGGTGCAGGGGGAGAGTTAGACCCTTACAGTAGCATCTGAAGCAGCCAGTATGTGGAGCAGGATGCTGGCGCACAGCCCCAGAGCGAGCCACGGCTCAGTACCCGCCATGAGCTGGTCCTTACCTCACACACTCAGACCTGCAAAGTTTCTCCTGAGCTGGGGACCCAGGCCATCAGGCGGTCATGTCAGGCATTGCTTGCTGCCTCATCTAGCCTCGCTCGGCATTGGCCCATGAACCGGAGCCATCCCAACAGCATTCTGGTGTGTACAGAAAGGTCCTTTCCATCTCAGGTTTGTCTTTCTGGCCGAATGCTGGATACTTCTCGCCTCCCCTCTGCCTGATTGTGTGCCTGCCCTAAGCTTCCCTCTGCTAGCACAGGACCCAGGCTTGCTCTGTGCTGGTGCTGGGTCACCCATACACGTCAATGCCTGCCTGCAGGAGGCTAGACCCTGTGCAAAGAATGGCTAAATAGCGAAGGCAACACTTCCTTGCCCAAGTCCTGAGCCTGAATGTGAACCCATAAGCAAAGATCCAGGCCAACAGTCGCACAAGCTGAAAGAGCAGCTCTAGGAGCAGGTGCCCGTACTCCATGGACCCAGCCACTGGCAGCTGACTTCATACACACACTGATATAACTTCTCCCATGGGCTTTCCAGGCTGGAGACGTGGCTTGGTCTCGTACTGCGTTCTCACCAGTCTGCTGGCGATACAGCAGGGTGTCCCCTGGGAGCACGGGATGGGAAGGGACTTCTGGAGCTGATGCCTGATGTGGCAGGCAGCTGTGTGGGTCTGTAAGAGCCTCCACTCCAGCCCCTCTCACACCCCAGGGTCTCCGAGCCCTTGATAACAGGAGGGCAACCCCCCAGTGTTCAGGGGGAGGGCAGGAGAGTAGTCCTACAAAAGCCTTGGCCATTGCAATGGCAGGGAAGGTGCTAAGTAGACTTGGCTCTGATGACCCTGAGAAGCATAAAACACCCTATGCCAGGGGACAGGAAAAGCCCCCACCAGTCTCTGCTGGTCTGACCTGCAGGGAATTACCTCCTGACCCAGAGCACAAGAGCAAGCCCCACCACCCAGGGGACTAGCTTGTACCTCAGATACTCGGCTTGTGATAAAGGGCATGGAGGAACCAGGCAGCAGAGGGAAGACAGCCCTGCATGTGTCTTCCTTTTTACTCCCCACACTGCCTTGCTGCAGCTGATCAGGTCTGGCAGGAGAGCAGAGGCCCTTGCAGCCCCTCTGCTTCCCTGGGCTCACAGGCTGACCCTTCAGTGTAAAGAACAGGTAAAAAGTGGCCCTAAAGGCTACGAAAGGCAGGTGCCTTCCCTCTCTTTTGAGTTTCAGGCTTCTTGTAAGCCAAGGCAATCCCTATCTGTTATGGGGGGCTGGGGGCAGTGTTAGGGCGGGTGACTTGTTGCTCGTGGAACCACCAATGCTGCATGGTTGCACAACCATTAGTGTGAGGCAGCTCCTTGCTCCTATTCTGGGACCTGAATGAAGGTACTGGAGCACCTGGCTCGTACAGCACTTATCTGGCCGGCTGTTCTGCATTTGCACATTAGGAACAGCTTTGAAGAGTTAATGGAGACATGCCTGAGCTTGGTCCTGGTGCAGAGCCAGCCCAGCCCGTGCTCGGTGAAGCTACCAGGGCAGAACTGGCCCCATAGCTGCTTGCCTTGCACAGGCCAAGTGGCTGCTGATGAATAGAGAATGGCTGGACGCAGTCCACTCCAGCAGCCGGCACACAAGCTAGAGTCCCAGCTCTGTGGCAATGACACCAGCTGCTTAGGCGTGCCACTCTGCAAGGCACAGGGCTGCCCCTGGGGCATGAGGCCACGTCAGGACGGCCTGATGCACAAAAGGCCCCTTCATGCTCACCCTGCATTGCTAACACTGCTTGGCCTCATGACCGATAGCAGGACACATCAGTGGCATGGACTGGAGCATGCCCTGTCATGGCACGCCACCCCCTTCTCACCCCCACAACCCCTTCACTGCGCACATCGTGGCTTGCCCATGCCCCCCTCATTGCTTGCCTCTTCCCCCTCTCCTTGGGCATCTGAACATCCCAGGGCTGGAGAGCCTGAAGGTTACATTGAACAGTCAGCTCATCTCAGCCTTTGCCCAGGAGGGCTATGACCCTCTAGCCTAGTCTGCTTTCAGTCCATTCACCCTGGCCCCACTGAGCTTGAGGCAGGCAGAGCTGTATGGACATCACTGCCCGGACAAACTGCAGGCTGTCTGCATGGAAAATGGGCTGGCCGCTTGCTGCCGCAGAGCACAAGGCTTAGTCAATAGGAAATGAAATGCAGCACTTTCCTTTGCTGACAACTTATTTTCATATTGCAACATGAGTTGGGATGCTCAAGGGTGTTGTTTTTCTAGGGAGATTTTTATTTAAATACTTAAAAACTGTACATTCAGGCTGTCAGATATGCACTGTCGGATATGTTTATTCTTGCCAGTGCTGGTTTGTTTCTCAGGACATAGTACTCTCTTCCTCGTGATTTCAGGCCAAACGCTGCATTACGTCCACACACTATGCATTCCCCATTGAAGGCCAGAGAGCAAATCCATCGCTGGTGTAAGAGGCTACAACTCCACCAGTTCAACTGAGAATTGCCTCATTTCATCTCCCCCTCTTCCCTTCCCTGCTGTGTGATTCTTATTTGAGCCTCTGAAGCTGCTTTTGCCAGAGATGAATTTGCTAACGGGATTGCTGATGTCAGACATCTCCGGAGAGCATGTTGCTCCACTTCCTAACGAATCTGAAAGCAATGCAGTGTTTTATTTCATTGCTACTTGATCTTTGTGATGGGTATTTAAGGGCTCAATTGCTGCCTGAAAATAACCAGGCAAAGTCCCGAGCTTTTCCTGTTCCTGTGATTGATGCATAGTAATAAAAGTCATCTTTCAAACAAAGCTGCCTGAAGCGTGTGATTTTTCTGTGCCCGTGGGCAGGTTAGATCTGTCACGTGGGTGAAACATGTAGACCGCACTAAATAATGCTGAGAGTTTTGCAAGAAAAATGAGTAAGAAGGGAGGGAGCTGCTCCTTGGTGAGGGAAGTTGTGAAGGAGCAAGGACTACGGAAAAATTCAAGTGATGAAAGTGAATCTGTCCAATTTCATATCCTAAATCCTGATATTTCAGATCCTGAGATCCTTCATTTTCTTCCAGAAAAACCGCAGCTCCCACGTCACCAAAATATACTTGACTCCAAAGTATTTCCTGGGGCAGGACTGGAATCATGACTTCTCAGCATGGAAAAAAAGACATCACTACCGAAAGAAATGCTGTATCTACTCATCTGACTCCAAGATTATATGCTGGCTTCCCAACTTGATTATTAAAATACAAACTCTGAATGCTGTTTGTACAATCTAATTAATACGACATGGGTTGTGAATTCGAGCTCAGCCAAAGAACAATTAATGCCAGGCCCCATGATAGTGATGATTTTTATACAGCTTGAATCTGTGTAAAGAGTGAGAGCGGCTAGTACCTGAGCTTGAACTGAACATACCAGTGGTTGTGTCATTTGTCAGTTAGCCAACATCCACAGGAAGTTTGCTTGCTGCCAAAACGTGGGTGGGCAGATGACAGACGTGGAATAGCATTGCTCAAGAAATGCAAAAAACTTTAAGATGAGAGGCTCTGCATGACTGATACAGGGCAGAATTGACTTGACTGTGTTCCCAGCTGCAGTGGAGCTGTTGGCCATAAAGCTGCCCTACGCATGCAGTGTGCAACCTTCATTTTGCTGGAGCAGATGTTTAAAAGGATTTGAAGCTGCAGTCACCAAGATGGACTTCCACTCACGGAGATGGTGGGGTCTAGCCCAGTACCAGGGCCTGCTTTGCAGAGATGCAGCTTCCACGGACTCCCATTACAGCTGGGCTTGTGCTGCACCTCTGGAAACCTGAGGATCTGGCCATGTGCTCACGCGTTTCTGATGCGGATAGACACACTCCCCAGTGCATGTCTTGTACGTGGCTCCTGGGATGTTTAAAAGATGTGCCGTGGTGTACGGGGAAAACACATTTCAGCTCCCCTTCTGTCCGTCATCTTTCAGGGCTGCAGTCAGCTCACCCTGGGTTCTGCTGATCACACGTGTCTGATTTGCTGCTCGTGCGTATGATTGCTGGAATTCCTCAGTTGGCTGCAGAGAGCTTTATTTAGAGGGATGTGAGGGGCAAAAACCAAACAAACCCAGAAACAGAGCCAGAAAGAGGCCGTGCTCGCTTCTCATGTGCATGGTGCTTGGATTCCAGGAGAAACTTGTCTGAGCAGGTATGTGCCTATATTATATGATCTGCAGGAAGAGCAAGTGCCCCCAAGGAAAGGTTTCCCAGGACCAGAGCAGGGTTTAATTCAATTTGGTCAGAGAGACAAAGCCTCGCGCTAAGGCTCATATGAGTAGGAAGGCACCTTCTTGCAACCCTCTAGCCTGGTAGTCCCTAAGGCTTTATTCATGCTCATCTGGCTTTTGCTGCTCCTGTTCCTGGAGTTCAGGAACACAAGACAGTGACCACATGTCCACCCATCTGTGATTTACTCAGATCTAACCAGTTATCTTGGAAAAAAATGCATGACCCCAGAGGCCTCTGAATACATCCTGCAGACACCCTGTGTCTGCCAGGCAGGAGTAGGCAGTACCTCATAAACCACTTACCTTCCATCCATGGATGGGGGCAGGGAAGAGCTCTCATAGGGCGCTTGTACACGTTACGCCACTACCATGTACACATTACAAAAATGTCACTTTGTGTAGCTTAATGGCATCACACTGTCCACGTGCAATAGTTTTGAGGGTTGTAAATGAGTTTGCATTGTTGCAAACTAAACTACGTCCTGATGCGGTTTAGTTTGCAACGATGCATTGCAGCTATTAGTCAGCTCATTCCCCAGCTGCAGGAGAGGTGGGCAGGCTCCGCAGAAACAGAGGAGTAGGCCTCTCAACAACAACAGAGAAAGGACCGGGCCCCTCACCATAACAGTAGCAGAAAAATAAAACCCCACCATTTCAATTTAGGGGGCACAGAATACAACCCTAAGGACTAAACCCCTGTCATGTGTACAAATGCCCTTTGGTTTTTAGGGCCAAAGGGGCCATCTGACCACAGCGGGTGGTCAGTGGCTGGCGAGGCCAAGCTTCTCAGCTGTTTCCATGGAAGCTGGGTCAGCCTCAGACACACCTTGGTCCCCAGCAGCAAGGGACCTCCTAGTGCAGAATACCCCTGGGAGGAAGGCAGCTCTGGCCCCAGTGGAGAGGGGTGACGAGACAGTGAACTGCAAGTGGAGGGGCAGAAGGCAAAAACATTCAGGAAGGGCAGGTACAAGGGGGCAGAGGGAGGGGTGGAAGCAGCTCTCGGGGCACTGGGGGCCTGTATGGCAGTGCAGGCACTGGGGAAGACGTGTAGCGTGCATGTCCAGTGCCTGCCCGGCTCCCCATGGAGCCTTGGCCAGGCTACCCGAGGCTGGATTGACAGAGGGACGCAGCTCAGCCCCATCTGCCTGCCCCAGCACTTTAGATGGGGGCACCTGGACTCGCCAGCCGGCAGTGCAGATAAGAGGAGTGAGATCCCCCTTCCCAATGCAGGCTCCTTCCTCCTGCAGGTCAGAGCATCGCTCCCAGCCTTGAAATCCTCGGCACTTGGGTCCCACTCCCTGCCTTTCCAAAGCAGAGCTGGGCGTTCGCCTTTCTCTGGAAGCCCAGGCAGTGGAGGAGAAAGCCCGGGGGAGGAGAAAGGGTCCTGCACCCTGGCAGGTCCCTACCCCCTTCTCTGTGTACAGCACATCCACCTGCCTTTCCCCATGACCCCGCCAGCTCCTGCCTGTGCTGACGGCACTTTCTGCCGTGCCGCCCATCCTCCCTCACTCCCGTTCTGGTTCAGTCTCCTGTTAGTCCTTGTCCCAGTCCAATTAAAGCAGCAGCAAACCTCATGGCAATGGCCGGGGAGGTTCATTTGGACCATCATTCCTAACGCATGCGGCTGAGCCCTCCACCCACTGGTCTTTCCCAGGCCTCCGGTGCTCCCAGCCTGTTTTCCCTGCCTCCCTCTGCTATCTTGGCCAGCCTGCTTTCTGAAGCTCATGGGCTCATTTCCAGATTCCTGCAGGGCTCTGGCCTCCCGTGCACGTTTCAGCAGATTAAACAAGTCAGGGGGGATTTTCCTTTCCAGTCACTAGCAAGATAGGGATCAGTTCACACATTCCCCAGCAGCCTGGTGATACCCTTTGTACAGGCAAAGCCTCAGCCTTTGTTCTCAGACCGATCTCCTGTTATTAGCCTGGCCTCTGAGCTGGTTGGCTGCCCCTTGTGCTGTGTCAGAGGCCTGTCCTGTCTCACCTACATCAGAATTTGCTTTCTCCCCACTTTTCATTTATCAGTGTGTTAGTAACCTTTCTACAGGCTTCTCTTATCCCAGGAAACATTTCCTGGCATAAGTAACTTCCATCCTGTTCAGCTGATCTATAATGTAGAAAGCAGGCCATTGACACCTGCAGCGATAAAATTTGAGCTGTCATTTCCCATTTTGGGTACTGAGGACATTGCAAATACCAGGCCAAAGGGAAACAGGCCATGGAGGAGCAATCCTCCTCTGTTTGTTAAAGGATTTTTCCTGTAGCAGACAAACAGGGGAGCAGATACGGTCTTAGCAGAGCGTGCAAAAATTTGGTAGGCGTTTATGCCCTACTTAAAAATTCACACGGATTGCATCAGAGGGCAGGTTTGCTCTGTTGTCTCGGTGGGGCAATGTAACCTTCTACCTCTTGTGCCTATAGGGCAGGGATTTTCAGCCGGGGCTTGCAGCTGTGAGATCCTTTGAAGGGTGCTGGTGTGCAAACACCTTGTGTGTGATTCACAGAATAAACCCAGAGGTTTCAGATGGGAACGCACGGAGCATCAAAACCATTCTCACCTGCTGGGGTCTTTTTGAGCCCTTTGCCACAGAAGAATTGCTCTGTTATTTCTTTTCCTGGTCAAACACCGAGTGCAAGCTAAGAGCTGGCATTTTCCAAGGGAGGTGTTGAGCCAGAGAGAACCACTGCTGTAGGGTGTAAGAGGTGTCCCCAGTGAACAGACCCCTTTGTCCTTAAGGAGTTGGAGACAGTAGACAGACAATGGACAACTTGCTTGATCCTGTTTTGATCCAGCCTCTTTTCCCCTGGGATTTTTTAATCAAGAGGAAGAATTTTATGTAACAGGAGACGCGGGGCCCTGATTGTGCTCTGGGGGCTGCCAGTGTGAAGGCAAAGCTCCATTTACCTGCAGGAGCTTTGACAGGTGTCAAAGAAGAGCTGAGCTGAATCAGGCCCTCAGAGAAAGCGCCATGAGTTAGACCACCCCAACAGATGTTCGCTGTTGGGTCAGGGTGGGGTGATCGAGCTCCACTTTGGAGCTGATCTAGGGAGAGAAGCTGTGTGGCTGCAGTGTCGTCCCCTCGCCCTGCTCTCCTCTCCTACCTCCTGTGCTGGGATGGGCGTGGGGGAAAGCAGGGGACGGAGATCCCCTCTGCGGTTTGCCCGGCCTGCTCAGGAGTGCCAGGGTGGGTGGGATTTCAGTGGGAACAGATCCGAACCTAGGAAAGAGAGATCCAGCAGATACTAGATGTGAGCATGGAAATAAGTGGATGAAAGAGGCAGAGGTTTTTCCCCGTTCCCGTGAAAGATGTTTTTCTGGAGCTGGAGAGTCAGGCCTGGGTGCAACCATTTACACACTCCAGCAAGGCCAGGGAGTGTGATCTCCACAACCTGAGATGAGCAATTCCTCCTTACATGAGAATAGGATTTTATTAGCAGAACATGGAGGAAGATGAAAATAATAAAGACCCTGCTGTTGTGAGCCACATGGCTGCCGAAACGATCCCTTCCATTAGCTTCACTCCGGGTCTGCTACAAAAGACGCGTTCATTTTTC